AAGGTGCCAAAACCGTGGCGGTGGTGCCGCCCAGGATCATGACTGATTTTGGGATTACCCAACCGGATGAGGTCTGGCTTGTCGACAAGGCCCTGTATGGGTTTCAATCCAGCCCTGCCCATTGGGCAGTGTACCGCGACCAAACAATGCGGCGGTTCACATGGCAGGGAGATGCAAGCCCGGGGGAGATGCAGAAGGAGTACAAGCTGGAACAAACGCCGGAAGGAAATTTGTGGAGAATCCTGTGTAAAGGTGGTGACGCTCCGGGAGAAGAAGTACGTCCTGATGGATATCGGCAAGTGGGTTTGGTGGTCGTCTATGTGGACGATCTTATGGTTCTTGCGGAACCTCACGCCAAACACAGCTTCTTGAAGAGGCTGAAGGAAGAATGGACTTGCTCCACTCCTGAAGAAGTTGATCACAAAGGCTGGGTTCGATTTTGTGGGTTCGAGCTCCAATGGAGCGGTCAAGGGGATCACAAGAAGTTGAAGGTGGGACAGCAGTCCTACACTCGGGATCTGTTGAATCGACATCAAGTAGAACACCCAAGACCGGTTCCGATGACGAAAGCGGATGCCGAACTTCCGGAAGAAGAACAACCAGCACTTGAAAACATCCGACAAGCTCAAACGGTGGTGGGCGAGTTGTTGTGGTTGTCCATAAGGACAAGGCCGGATATCAGTTTCGCCGTCAGCCAATTGGGAAGACAGGTGAACAAACGGCCCAAATGGGTGGTGAAAACCGCACAACAGGTGTTTGGTTACCTGAAGGGAACCGAAACTCAACATCTCAGCTATGGGGTTTGCACAAGTGATGATCGTGGTCCCGAAGATGATCTGCCATTTCACCGGGAGATGCAGCAAGTCGAAATGTTCTCGGACATTTCATTTGCCCCTGCGGGCGAAAGATCACTGCAGGGTATCCTAGGTTTTTATGGTGGAGGGTTGGTTCAATGGGAAGCCAGCCGTCAAGCTTTTGTGGTGTTGAGCACCGCCGAAGGGGAATTGATGTCCTACTTGGAATCCATGGTCATGGGAGACTCTCTGGCGTCTCTCATAGAGGTCGTGGAAGGACGGAAAATCGGGCAGAAGATCATCTACGGAGACAACACGGCTGCAATAGCCATCTTGGAAAATCCTGACGGTCCGTGGAGGACTCGACACTTGCGGTTGCGAGCAACAGCCCTAAGGGAGCGGTTAAAGGATGGTAGTTGGATCATCCGTCACCTTCCAGGGGTAAAACTTGTGGCCGATTTCCTGACGAAGATCATCGCTGTGAAGCCCAGTTGGGAAAGGTTCTGGAGGTTCGTCAATCACCAAGGTTCCGGGGTTCCAAATGAGGAAACATCAATGGGGTCCAACCATCGTGAAGAACAACCTCTGGGAGAAGAACAACGTCCAGAAGAACCAGACCAGGAGACTTCCTCCTGGGACAACTACCGAGATATCGCTGGTCGGTGCGTATCAGTGGTGAAAAAGGTGGTTGGTCTGGCCGAGGAATATCCAGAACTAGCCGATTTCCGGCATGAAGCCTTGAGCACTGCCATTGGAAGGCTGGTGCGAGTACTGGCTGATGCGTATCGCGTCACTGAATCCGTGGTCAAGGATCGGTTCCAGTTGGAGTCGGTCTTACCGTTTTTGGAGAAGAAGAACATTCCTGGACAAGTTGAACACCCTGTAGAAGAAGAACCTAGGGGTATCCTAAAACGGGGTAATAAGACCAAAAGGGGTAACTCAAAACCAAAAAGGGTTTATTTTTGGGATGAAAATCCACCAGTTTTGAAAGTTTTGCGGGTACAAGATCATCACGGTCATGTTGCCCAATTGCACAGTTATGAAAAAGAAGAACCCATCCCTAAGACCATCCTGGGTGATGGACAAGAGAAACCTTGGGACTTGGATTGTGCCAGGTCCGATCGAGAAGAACATCGAGCTGCTGAAGTTGTACCAAGGTCGGGTTCCACAGAACCGTGGGATCTGGTTGCAACTTGGGGAATTGGGTTTTTGGGGAATTCTAATGTGGTAGGTAAGGGGAAAAACCATCCTGAAACCTCAAAGGGGATAGCTCCGCAACCAACGGGATTTAAGTGTTTTTCCGTTAGGGAATTGGGGTTGTCCGCAGCAATTTATTTTTCCAAAAGTTTTGGGCTCAAAAGCGTCCTCGTCTGCCTTGCTGTACCAGTGACAGCTATGGACGGTGAAGATGTTTCGCAAGGCGTCTTTGGTCAGTTTTTTGGCATACTTTATGCCATGATGGTCATCCTGGTGTGGGAAGTTTTCCGATGGCTTATGAGCCATTTGACACTCCTGGTGGTTCCTCAGTTCAATCGACAAATGGTGGAACAAGCTGAACTGATGGTGAAGTTGGCCCTGAAAGATCGAGAAAAAGATGTACGTGGGGGAGAAGGTCATTCCACGGCGGCGCCAACTGTAGAAAAAGATGAACATCAGGAAGAAGAACCACGTCCGGGAGAAGATCATCGAAAGGAAAAAAGAAGAAAAACCGAAGAGAGGGATGCTGATCGCGCCCATGATAAAAGGGAAAGAGGAAGAGACCGTCGGAGACGGGGTGAAACAGGGCGATCTAGGTCGCCACACAGGGAAAAGGAATCGACAACAAGGCGATCGGAGAGTGAAAAAAGCCCTGGCCCTTCTACAGCCGAATCGCGAGGTTCGGAAAGGGTCCCAAAGGGACCGATAGCTCCGCTGCCAGAGGGTATGAAAGCCCCTGGGAGACCGCCACCGAAAAAACCGTCGATGCCAACTCCCAAGGAAGAGGAAAAAGTACCCACCGATGATGAAGAGTGGGGAAAATGGAAGGAACAGAGAGAAGGAGAAAAAATGGCTGATTACCTTGCAAGGATGAGATCAGTCTATGGAAAGGCAATACCTGCAGAGCCAAGGGAAAAACCTGCAGAAACGACCCGAGCCTCCTCCTCTAAGGCAGCTCCTAAGGCAGCGGCTTACTATGAAGTGGATGGAGGAGAATGGTATTGGTGGGATGGTGCATGGGGTGACAAATGGGAACCGAAAAAGAAAAAGAAGAAGAAGAACAAATACACCGAGGCTGAATGGGAACAGTGGTACAAGGAGCATCCGGAGGAGGACACTGAGTCTTCCCAGACACCAAGAAGGCCAGCAGAACCGGAGACTCCGCCACCGGCCCAAAGACCAAGGATTCGTCCGGGACAAGATTTAATTCGACGTCCTGAAGACCCAGCCAGCTGGACAGTTTACATGCCTGAGGTGGTCATGCGTGAGGTGGAATATATCATCTCTGGAGAGGGCACAGCATGGATGACAAAGCCGCCGGCCGTAACAGGCTTTGAAGAACAGGGTCAGGCCATTGACATGTGGCATGTTCCAGCCCCTGGGGACTATGGACGAATCATCACAAGAATCCATTACAAATGGAGACAGAATTCATTTCATCCAGATCACCCCACTTTACCGAAAAAGGTCGACCAGTTGGATCCTTACCGGGTCACATTTTTGTGGAATACCCTGGACAGCAACGAGCGAAAAATAATCTTGGATTTTGACTGGGAGACCAAGTGGGTCGAAGACAAGTGGGTGGGATACACCGTTTTCCTTGTCAAACAAGACCCAAGAGATGTGGCGAAAAGCTCACCCAAAAGGAAATAGGTCACACGGAAAAGTACATCGGTGGCTGGAGAAAAAGATCAACAAGACCCAAGGAAAAGATCATTAGCTGCCGGTGGAAAAGACCAATACAGGGAAAAGCTCATCAGCTGCTGGACCCAAAGAACACCGTTGGGCGCTCTTCGAGGACAGCGCTGGTGAGAGAGGGAATTCAAAACCTACGAAGTTAGGGCTGTAGTTTTTCAATTTTTGGAGTCAACCCGAAGTGGAACTCCACGCGACCCTTGGATGAAGGGGGAACCAACACCAGCCTGGGACTATGGCACACGAGGGTCTTCGCCCTTCTGGCTGGGGGAAGGGCGAGTTCCCAGAGGAAACGTGGCCACCCCTGAAGCTTTTGTTTTTGGTGTTGGGGAACCTGGATTCCTGCAAGCAGGAAGGGGGAGTGCGGTTTGGGAAACATGCACAGAGTACCACTGCACCCCCACTAAGGTCTTTTTAAAGTTTTCACAGTCGTTGAGACGTCCTCCGACTGTTGCAACTATGGCTCAAGCCATTCAATTGGCTCAAGGGCCAATCAACTGACTGGCTCAATTTACCGAGCCCAACTTGGAGTGAAAAAGTGCACTTGCATCTGCCTCTTGGTGGGGACCTCCGGGAAGGGTCTCGGTCATAGTCTGAAACCCGTGAGTCTAAAATGAAACTGTCTGTTCTTACACACACAAATAAAATAAAATACACGGTTTTGAAACGAACTTTTTTCGTTAGTTCACACTTACTTAAACATAAGTTTCTCTCACTTCAGAAACCCAGTTTCTGTTCGATTCTATAGATTCACTTATATAATGACCACGCCCTTCATTCATCTGAGCAGTGTTTCAAAGCGTGTGTCGTCCCTTTACACTGCCTCGCTCATAGGGTTTCCCAAATGGATCATGATATGCAATGGCCAATATATTGGGCAGTATAATCCCAAAACTAATCACCAACAACCAGCATTTATCAACTATATCCATCTATATCCCAACATATCCCAACTAGATCTTCATCGTTCGATGGTTAAACACCAAAGCAATGCTGGTTATATCATCACATATCACCATTATTTACTGGTTGGTGGTTTCAACCCCTCTGAAAAATGTTCGTCAGTTGGGCTTACTATTCCCATTTCTACGGAAAAAAAAAAAACAGTTCCAAAGCACCAACCAGTTGATCACGATTTACTATTGATCATTATTTACCAACGATATCCCGCATATGGGTGTGTCTGAAAATAGTGTACCCCTTTTTACCCAATGGTTTTGCTGATCATTATCCCTATTAAATGGCTATTTGTTTGGGAATATACCCTATTTTCAGCATCCACCAGGCAGCCACTCTGCTCCAGCACCAAGTGGCTCCACGGGAACGCCGGCCCATTCGCTGCAGTCCGCGCGCTCACCCACCGGCGTTGCCTCGTGCAGGACAGACAGGACATCGGTGCCATCCAGGCCACTCGGCTCCTGGCGCCAGGAGCTGGATCGTTTTTGTTATGAATGTTCTATGAGAATTCATGAACTCATAATCTATTCTATGATAACTCATGGAATTCTATGATAATACTCATAATATAGTTACACATTATATATATAATGTTAAATAGTAGTAATGATGGTGAAATTATATCAATATTCATGATGTTTTCCCAATAGTCATGATCCTAACAGTATACAGTCTCAGTGACAATCTTGTGCTAGTAACCAATGGTCACTACATGACGGTTGTAGGATGATTTAACCTTCATCATGGTAATGATAATGACAATACCGATACATGATAGTGACAATAATTATATAATAGTAACTATCTATAACATTCTATAACTATATATATACTGTGATAGAAACATATTAAACAACAACACAGTGATATACAACGTTGCAAACATATGTCAATTTTTGTGGCTAGCGCCACCAGAGAATCCATGATAAGGACACGACCATCCAAAAAGGTTTGGCGCCCCCCCCGGTCCTCGACTTGAAACGATGAAAATGCTCGATTCTCAGACATCCTGAGCACGGCTTGAAGGTGCCAACTTTTTGTCCAGCAGGCGGTGGGGCCTCTGGAACTTCCAATTTGAGATCAGGCAAATGAACAGATAATGTCAATATGAATCTTGGAAACCATGCGAGCCAGTAAGAATACCCCTATCCATATCCCATCTGTACTTCTTGGTCTCCCTACTATGGGCCATAGGAGTCCCAACCAAGGCATTAAAAAAAAGCTCATCCCATATGCTACATATATGTTATATTTACCTACATGACTGGGTGATTTATGTTGGGCAAATGTTGGTAAATATTCCAGCACCATGGAGCATATGGGCATGTGAACCACTAAAAAAACAAACCACAATCTGTTGCTGTGGCAGGTCATCTACCGAGCCACGCTTCGGCCACGCGTGGCCCACCGGAAACACGGCCGCCACGGTGAAAAGTGGTAACAGCTGCGGCAAGGCGCAGCTTGGTACGTATGAAACTTCCAAATGTGCAGAAACTAGGAGAAAAGAGCGCAGAAAAGAAAAACAATCATGCTATTGATGTACATTCTATTTGCTGGGAGGAACACGTGTGGGTTTCTATATGTTTCTATCCCATTCCTCTACAAGACTCATTCATGGGGAGGTGATGCAATTTAGGGGAAATGGCAACTTCCAACAATATAGTGGCAAGGATGGAATCCGTATGCTGGAATACGTGTGAGCAACCAAAAGCAGCCGGAATCTCAACCAAAAGAAAAACATGTCGTGGCAGCAACAAAACAATAGGAACAGCAACCAATTTATCACCATCACCATCATCATTATCATCATCATCATCATCATCCACTACATGTCCAGTATATCATCTAACCTCGAATCAATCATGATCTATAACTACATCTGGAGGTTTCCTAAAATAGGGGGTACCCCAAGGCATCCACATTTAGACCATATTTAATGTCAACCCCGGATTATTAATTATGAGGGTACCCTTCAAATAGTCACAATATGATACTTCAATGGTACCCCCCCAATTAAACAGCAAGGTTGACTTTAATTGAAACCCATGGTGACTTGGGGTTCCCCCAGTTCAAGAACCTTTCTTATATAGCACCGAGCTCCCCCACCATATCCACCCATAAGGCCGCCGTTTCTGGGCTCGCGAGACAAATGGCGGGATAGCCTTTGGTAAACTAACATAGCTATGGAAAATGTCTTCAATAATTGGGCCCACAATTCCATAGATGTGTTAGTTTCCTGGAGGGTTACCTGTAAAATTGCAATTTAATATCGGGAACATCATGATCAACTACTGGATTCTAGAGGTACCCTATTGTCAAACGAACCAATATCAATGTCATTGGGACGCTACTCCCATTGTAGGATAGAAAATTAAAGGAACAAAACAATCACCAACCTGCTGCAAACCGTCAATCGTCTATGTACAAACATCTGCACATGTGTATTTATATATATATATATATATATACATATGTATATATATATATAATTATATATATATATATATGTTTGTGGTCCATACGTACAACATAAACAACACTAAGTGTAACACGTATATAAATACATGCAATCCTGCAATATAATTATCAGCTTTCATCCCAATTGTGTAAATGGTTCTGGATGAGTTGAATTCATATGACCTTTGTACAGGCATATCTCTTCGTCCCAATGATAACTTTACGTTTGCTCATGAAATAGATCTGGTTTCTTTGAACAATCCAAAAAACAATCAAAACTTAAACATGATTCCTTTCAAACAAAAAAAACAACTCCTTTTTTTTGGTTCGGTCTTTCAACATCCCACTGTCATTAGTTCAAGATGGTTTTGAATGTTTGTTGCTTCACACAATGTGGACTGATAAATGTCCATTTCATTCCGTCTTGGTGAGTTCTTTTTGTTCCTAGTGTTTAGTTCAGTTGGTTCATTTCCATTCTATGCGTTAGAACTTAAAACCCCATATTTAGTGGTTACCATCTGGTTATTTAACATAGCCATGGTATAGATGGCCCATTTATAGATGGTTTACCCATTAACAATTGTGATTTTCCATGGCTATGTTAAATAACCAGATGGTAAATCATCTTAAATGATCGGTTCTTCTCTGTTCAATGCTAATTGCTGCTGCTTCAATAGTTCAAGCCCTGCATCTCCATGAGTTTGTTTCCCTAGGCCAAACGTTTACAGAACGATGCGGAAAACCATAGATGTTTCCGCTTCGAAATCTCATCTACAATGAATCTACAAATTCATTATGGATTTTCCACATCTCTCCTAGTTTACCCATGTTTACCCCAGGTGAAATCTCCAGCAACAAGGGCCACATTCTGTCACATCGCCGTCATTGAGCTCCCCAACATGGGCGCACAGCCTGCTAAAGGGCCAGGAGGTGGTCCCTCAGTCGGCGGAAAAACCTCCCCATGATCCCATGGGGTGAGAATGGGACAACCTATGGAGAAATCTATGGGAAATATTAGGGTTTTCATGGGATCATGAACCATTTTCATTCTATATTCTATATATGAACTATGGGGGTAAAGGGAGAACACCCACTGTTGGGAACCTGAGTTTGGCGAAGTTTGCTGTTTCCGCCTGGCTTTTAATGGGATCATTAACCATATATACATGTTTTGATCCACATTAAGTCAAAGGTTCCAAGTGTCAAGACGCTGCTCGATGATTCGTTGGAGATACGCCATGCGCAACAAGCCCAGTTGGATTAAGACATGTCCTAAGATAGGGGTAATTGGGGTAATTACCCGAAATCATTCAAGTCATTAGAGTCAGAGCATTTTAGTAGTGACACCCATGGTGACTTGGGGCAGCACCCATTTTAGGAAACCTCCATATAGTGAAAATAGAAAGACCATTACTATAATGGGGACTGAACCACCTTCTTGATAGCATATACCATCAAACTCATGGTGATATCATCGACAAATGATGGTTGGTTGATGATCTGTCTATAATTGACACATGATCATTATCAATAACATTCAATAACCATCATGAACATTAAATAAATACTAAATATGATCTTGAACAAAATTTTCAAATAACCATCATGTCTTCGTCCATTGGGATCACGCGTCGTCTGAAAGAATGCCTTCTGTAGATTGGGCGGTTTAGTAAATCCCAAATCCAATGGTTTATATATAATGTGTATTTATATAGTGGTAATAAATGGTGGTAAATTTTCTATATATATATATATATCATTTATACCAATACATTACGATATATATATATATATATATGAAAATTAATATGATATATATATATATATATATATTCAATAGTTACCTGACAGCAACAGCATGTTTTTCCGCAAGATACTCTCAAAATCTTCTGCGACTTCCAACTTGGCTTTATGGAGAGAGCCCCTAAAGTCCCTAAAGGGTGACCATAGCTGGCTCCGATACATCCCTACGCCCACACCTTCTGGGGGAATCCCCGGAGGGTCTCCATGATTTGAGGCATCAGACGACGTTTTTACACCGCTGAGGATTGCACTTTGCTCTTGGAAGCGCCCTGGACATCACAGCGGTGATGTCAAGATATGTCAAGATCAAGATATGTCAAGGGCCCATCGATGCCCATCGGCCAGGAGAAAATTCTGTCATCCAAGTCATCCAAGTCATCCAAGTCACCAGGCCTCAGCTTCACATGACTCATATCCAGTCCACCTGTCGACTTGTCGTCAGCACTTTTCACAAAATTCACGCCTTAAAGCCACCTTTTTTTCCGCCCTGCGCAGCGGCGCAGGTCAAGTGGCAAAACTAGACAGGTCAGATTGGTCAGATCCAAATTGTCTCGTCCCATCATGGTCATGTCATTTCTATATCGATACATGAATTCAAATGGTTTGATGATTTCAGTCTCTTTCCATCATTCAGTACGTGTCAGTTGTGTGAATGGTTCAGGTCCAACTCTTCCGACTGGCACTATAATTTCCTTTCTCTCTCTCTCAGAAAGTTAAACTTAAAGGATTTTATAGGAAAATGATTTATAGTTTAGCTAATTTAACGGTAACTCACCATCATCTTCCTGTTTTTTCCAGATATGTCCTTTGTTTTTCCGCATGTTTTCGTTGTTTCATCCAAGTCACGACCCTTCAGCTCCCAACCCAGCCTTGCCACCACCTTTGCCCCTGCCACCTGCAGCCGCAAAATTTACGCGGGGTTAGGATCTTCAGGTGCGAATTGAAGCAACAAACCATCGAAATATCATGAAATATGGTGCAGCTGTTAAATGACCATATTTTGTTCATGGTTCGTTTTCATGAACCATATATAAGATGCATCATCAAACAATCTCGAGGTAGTTAAAGAAGGTGGGGCCCCGCTGGCAGGATAGCAAAGCTAGTTTTGAACTCCAATCATATACTAGCATTTGTGGTAGATACTGTATATATGAAATCCAACCTGCAACTGGGGGGTCACATTGTAGCTTACCCATATTTTTGGGGGAAATAGATTGGGGCATAGTTCGCATATAATTCTCAAGAAGTGATTGCATCGCATCGGTATTTGCAATGAATTATGTGGATATTTGGATGTATACATATACAAACTATGCATATCCATGAACAGACCATAACAATACAATACCCCCCGCCCCCCAAAAAAAACATGATAGAACATGCACAATCATGTGGTTTGTGCCCGGAAACAAGACAGATAGGAACGGACAAATACATTGAGTAGATGTCAAATTCATTCAAGTGACTTTACGTCGCCAGCTAACGGCTCTAAAGGATCCAAGATTCTTGGCCGGGGTACACAGTCTGTCACTGATATCTCCCAGTTTATCCAGTTTGCAAGCGGTGATGCTTCTCAATCAAGTCAGTGCTCATCGAGCCATCGCGATACACGCTTTATCATCTTTATCATGAGTTTAGTGATCATTGTAGATGGGGGTTTCCTAAAATAGAGGTACCCAAAAATCATCCCAATTTTTATGGGACTTTCCATAAAGCATCCAGCGGGGTAACCCCCATGACTAGCATGACATTTCCCCTCATTTATCTCCATTGTCAGCCATTTTCATCTAATTCACATAGAAGTTGCCTAAAATGCGGGATAACCCGCAAATCATCCAAGCCATTGTCGACCATTTTAGTACTGAAACCGATGTTTCTTTATTGGATCCACCATTTTAAGAACCCCCCATATGGCTACGAGTCCAAGCATGTTCACCTGCACCCTGCCTTTGGAGGCTTTGGACGCTTTCACCCCCACCAGTTCCCTGAGCTCCTGGGGCTGGAGCTGTGACTTTTTCAGAACCAAACATATGTGGAGAGGATGGGATATAGATGCAGTAACCGCAACCCCCAACAAGGTAGAATCATACAAAACTAGTGATAATTATAACTTAATCATAATTATATGGTCCCATCTTTTTGAGGGGTGACTATAATCATATCGTGATGAATGGTTGGTGGACCATCGTATGGATGTGTATCTCACCCAGTATGTATTTGCTTGGTAACATTCCCATCTCGATTGACTACTGTAAATCACGTCAACTTCCGATGTAAATCGATATGGAATTGCTCAAAAAATGATGGGTATCCCAATTGATGGCCATCAAATAGTGGGCACTGGGCACTCCCTTCGCCCAAATATCAAATATACCCCAAGAAATCCTTGGTTTAGGACTGAGTTTACTCATTTTGGGGGACATATTGGTATTTAGTTGTGTGTGTATATAATACATATATATATATATATTAGTATTCATATGAACATAATAGGGGCAAGGGAGTACCTTTCAATCATGTGATTTTGGTGAAACTCTATTTTTGATCCACCTAAGAACGACCCAGTGCAGGGCCGGGAGGCTGGGATGATATGCAATGTAACACACATGGGGATATTCACCAGCAAAGGTGATGATACGAAGCAACATTGATAAATAATTGTGATTTAAACCATCTATTGTTTGGGGTAATTCATTTGACCCATGCTCGGATCGGTTTAAACATCCTGATGTTGTTGGCTAAATCCCACTACATTCTATATTTCTAGCCTGAATCCGGTGAAAATCCAAGCCACCTACCGGGGAGAATCCCTGAAGTTGGTAAATGGTAAGTCACTGCATGGGATGAGAAACAAATTGTCCAAGCGACCCAGGGATCATCCCATGTATATACAAAGTGGTAAGCTAGTTACAACTACATCAACCAAACCGGGATATATGGAGTCATTACCCATGTATTGAATGGCCTAAAGCCCATGTATTCAATGGATAAGACCATAACCAGGGCTCCAACACAGATACCGGTTGCCGTTTTTTCAGTGACGGTGGACCTCGGGAACCTCCTGCTCTGCCGTCTGCATCACCTGCCCAACTGACTCGGATTTCCAAGAGAGGATTTTCTGTAGATCCATCATAAGCATCCATAAACTTGCCATGAAGCATATCTTAACCATACCTTAACCCATTTATTTCAACCAACTGAGCTGTCGCTTATGTTTTTTGTTCACATCAGCGACAGGAAATCTGCTGCAGACTTCGGCCTCCAAGATGGCCTTCGCTTTTCGAAGGTCTAGGGGATCCTCCTTCACCAGGAAGGTGTACCTGACGGATTGACGGATGGGTGAACAGAAACCTGAAGAAGGCCCCCCAAAGTCCATGGAATTTCCAGGGAAATTCCAAGGTGAATTTACAGGTCTGTAGACTGGGATCCCAAATTTTGACAACCACTGAGCTCATGGTACTCTAGTGAGATGACAACACACACTGGAAAAGCAGGAGACAAGGCCCTCCAAGTATCAGCAATCTCTCGTTATAAACTGAAGTCACCAAAATATCAAACAGGCTTTCTAGGATATCTATACCAAACTTTTATCATTACGAGAGAAGTTGCTTTTCTCCTTTAATCATCTGGTCAACTCAACGGGTTCCCCGAGGTCATTTTTGAGACCAACGCAACATGGATTGGTTATAGATTTGGATGATTTGTTTGGATTCCAATGATATATACCACCATATATCTGGTATATACTGGTATCATACTAATAGAAATCTATACATAACTCGATTTTGTACCGTTGGTATATAGCATACCACCAATTCTTTACAACAACCATGCCCACAGTTCGCTTCCCGCGATCGCAAGAAGCGCACGAAAGACCTTTCTCACCCGCCCGGCCCGTTCGACCGATGCGGTGTACATAGTCCTGCAGATTTGACCATCCTGATGATTTGGCCATAGAAATTAGGATTTAATATGATTTAATCAACCAAAGTGGGGCCCTGTAAAGTTCGCCAAGTTGCTTCAGAAGTGGATTAGCTATAGGGGTTATGGTAGATATCAATATCAGTTTATTCGATCTGCTTTTTTTTCCCAAACGCTAACAGATCGAACTGTGGGGCACCACACCGCCATGTCCCGAGTCCTCAGGAGTATTGGCGGCATCATAGTTGATGACCAGTTTGACACCTCGCAGCTGTACAGCCAATCGAGCCGCTCATCCGCTCGGTGGCTGACGAGTTCTGGTTCTGAAAGAGAGGAAAATGTTGATGTCCGAATATACCAGCTTGGTGTATTGAAGTTTAGTACTGCAAGCTTGATGTGCTGTATTTCCGTGTTTATCTTTGTATCTCTCTCTCTCTCTGTACATGTTCTGCATACAAACATAGGTCCAAGTCCGCTTCGAATTATGCATCCGAATGCATCTATCTGAGTACAATTACGCATGCACACAAAAACAATATATATATATGTAGATATACAATCAATGTATTATATTACAATAAATGAACATGCATATTCATAGATGGTATACATAGATAGTATTCATAGATAGTATACATAGATAGTATACATATACATAGATAGTATTCATAGTTTGTATTCATAGATAGTATACATAGATAGTACGTATACATAGATAGTATACAGAGATAGTATACAGAGATACTAGATATGATATACCCTGACTCATGACAGATCTGTCATAAGGCTGGGCACAATGATTGAATTCAATGAACAGGAACAATCTACTATTTATAGACGGCTTTCCCAGCTAGAAACTTCCATTTATAGCCAGCCACGTTTGACTATAGAAAATGGTATATCCGTATGATTTTCGAAATTATCCTAATGATTTCATCCCAATGATATTCATGATATCTATGATATGAATATTCATGATACTCATGATATTCATGATTGATTTTCAAAAAATATCTCATCGCAATGATATCCCAATGATATCTCTATAAATCCGTATTCTTCTTGGTGGAAGTTGTGGATCTCCCCATGACGTTTCCTCCGTTCGTCCGCCTTTGATGTCAAGTCCACGAGAGGCGACATCTGTGGCCACCATCACCTCAACAAATTCGCCGCAAGGCCGGTTGGATGTGGATTTCATCGCCACACATGGCTGAAGTTTAGCCAACAAAAACTAAAAAAAAAACGAGAATGGGTTGTTAAACTAAACACCAATATGGGTTATCAAACCACCAAACAAATGGTTCTTCAACAATAATTCGAACATATTCGAAGCATACTGGATGCCACCGACATTTTTTTGCCGTATATATTTACGCAACACATGTGAAAGCTTAAGCAGCAAATATGTTGTTCTTGCGATCAAACACGGGTAATTGATGGCATTAGGACAAACACACATGAGCTCACATGGGGATGTGGTCAGCCAACAAAAAAAGATATCGACATCACTGACATCACCTTCAAAAACAGGAACACGTCACAAATGGCCAAGTGTACTGACAATCAAAACCTCCCATTCCTAATGGTGGTCCATTGCCAGTCGCCTGGGATCGGGATTGGAGATCCATGGGGATGGGGATGGCGGTGGAGGTGTCCATAGTAATCCACAATAGCTGGATGGTTTTTGTTATGGAAAATCCTAATGAAATGGGGGGGTTCCATTAAATGGGGAATCCCCAAAATACTTGGTTTATGTTGGTTTATAATGGAAAATCCCAATCAAAAATAGATGATTTAGGGGTACCTCCATTTCAGGAAACCCCCATATATTCTCCATAAAGATATGTCTGAAAGTCTCACCCCGCGATCCCAGTGTTACAACATCCGAGATCTGCACTCTCTTCTCCTTGTTGGTAAAGGAGCGCAGCGCTAAATCGCGTTCTCGTTGGTCCTTGAAAAAAACACAGTCCCAAGTGGGAGTGGTACATGGGGGTGATATGTAGAAGTTGATTTTTCGACGTACATATATGATCACGTATGTACATAAAGTCATAGATGCATATATAGAATAATATTAGATCATGTTATATAATCAATGATTGTCCAGCTAGCAATATTGCCATATAAAGAAACATAGAGTACAGTGTACAGTAAGTTGATCTAAAAAATGGAACGACTACCCACACTCAAAAGCACACTCTAGCGTAAACGTTTCACATCTGTTCTTCTGTGGATACGATAGCTAACCTCAAAATGCCATATCCACCATGTTTTTTCCATGTTTCAAACGAACATGTTCTTATGATGTGGTTCCCCCTTCAACGGTGTTCCTCAGTCTTCAGGGGAAAACCCGTGGCGCCTTGTCACCATGGATCTCCGCAACACCGAAGCTATGATGCCAAAGAAGTCTGGCGATGTCCTGTCAACATGTGGATTTAATCGGATTAATATAGGTGCTCATCCCATGCCGTTGAAATCCAAAGATAATGGGTACGCTATATACAACTATATATATACTGCAAATCTCCCAAGAACATGGATTGATGCGCGTCCCCCAACATGGGAAAATTCCAAATGCTTTGACCACGGCACATAATATTGGTCCAAATACTTATCTTACGAATCCTACCAATAAATATGAACCATGACAAATCAATCCAATTCATACCAATTCATGTAAATTAAAACATATAAACAAAAGCTCGAGCTGACGTAAAATAGTCAATTTTTGCTGCCAGACCTTTGAAGAGCTTTCTCCAACAAACAACCCTGCATATAATATGTGTTTTATGTGTTTTGTAGGTGTCTACATATAGCATGTATATTGCTGTGCTATGGTAAAACGCACACTCAGATTAGGGTCACGCAAACCTAGCATCTCTCAATCCTATAGTGCCCAGTAATTATATAAATAGATCGTTACCCTCTGGTAAACTAACATAACTATTGAAAATCACCATTTATAGTGAGTTTTCCCATGAAAAATGGTGATTTTCCATAGTTATGTAAACGTTTACCAGAGGGTAAATATATCAAAATGTACCGAGGCAGCAAACCTCCAAACGCCCAAAACATCTTCAGATCTAGGCGGCCAGTCCTGGACGCATCTCTTGGTTGAGACGAAAACAATTGCCAGTTCCTCCTGCGGGCAACTGGACACCGATGGCAGGTTCATCTCCCATGAAGGACAAAAAACCTGTTTCTACCCTAACTCTTAAGTAGTTGTAATTGTAACATATTGTAACACAATCCATTATACATAATATATAAACCCCCATAATATACCATTCGGTAATCAAATGTTGCAACTGAAAATCCAGCCTTGAGATTGTCCAACACACCATGCTTGATGACACCGGAGGGGCCAGGCAACGGCATTGAACGTTACCAGGCAACTGCAACAAAGCACCATTGTGTTAGCTGCATCCCATCATCCCATCTATATTCATGTGATTACTGCTATTATCTTATAATTCCATATTGCATATCCGGCCTATCCCCATTTTATTTGCCTCGTCTAATGATGGTGTAACCACCATCGACACAACAGTGAAACTCTTCTAACAAACGTGCCCTGTGCTCTCCTCTCCCAAGTGCTGTGATAACATCTCGTCGAGCCTTGGCCCACAGATTTGATTCATATATTGGAAACTATTCTTCCAGTTGAAACCTATGGTGACGACTGGGGATCCCTCATGTGACTTAAGAACCCCCGTATATCTATATGGGTTTGTCTTTTTGTATGGTGCCCAAATCGGGAAGTACTGGGGGGGTATGATTCGGGGGTATGATTCGGGGCATGATTCGGGGGTATGATTCGGGGGTATGATTCGGGGGTATGATTCGCGGTATATTTTGGGGTATGCTTTGCACATATGGACTGTGCAATTTGTGCTTTCAGGACCACCAGAGAACATCTCAGGAGGTGAGGGAACTGGGAGGAGGAAGAGTTGCAGGACCAGACGGCCACGCCTCGGCTGCTAGCCACAGGCCGCTTGCGGCCAGGGCTAAGAAAGAGTAGTAGTATTATAGTAATAATAGTAATAGTAGTAGTAGCAGTAGTAGTAATAATAGTAGTAGTGGTACTAGCAGCAGTAGTAAGTACTAGCAGCAGTAGTAGCAGTAGTAGTAGTAATAGTAGTGGGAGTGGGAATGGGAGTGGGATTGGAATACATTTTGTAGATCTATGGTTTATTCAGTGGAAACTTTTCCAACACCCCATTTTGCAGGTCCGATGTCAATAAACTGGAGGGCATATACCTTGAACGGCCTAACGGTCAATAGCCATGGCTCTTCCATGCAGATTTTTCGTGCTATCATACATCCTTTAAAGCAATTAATGCCTGTCCTGGCGAATGATCAATCATAATATTAATATACCTGGTAATTTCGACTCACCGCAAAGATGCTGAATTTGGATCATCGCCCAGTTAGGAAAGGACAATCATTGATGCAACACTGCAGTGTTGACAGCCTCACATCCATGGATTTTCAACTGGAGATCAAAATACTCAAAGTGCCCCAATGTGCCTTATGCACCAGCATCGACCAGTAGCTTGTGTCACCCTGGTGAGCCAATCAACACATGTAAATGTTTAGATGGTATACCCATACCCTATGCACAGGACAATCTACGCGGCATTTGGTGGACACACCTCTTCAAGTGGCCATTTGTAGAAGATTTCCCAGCCATGTTTATTGTTTGATGACACCGGAAGGTCTAGGCTCCCGATCTTCCGATCTTTGTCGGTCAGCCTTCACCAGCAATTGATGCGCAATCAAATCACTAGAATAGAAACAGCAAGGAATGGGGGACTTAACAGGACCTCATTACATACAGCAATGTCAATGGATTGGTGTAAGGGACAAATTTAACCGGAAAGCCCCATGTTTTTTTGATGGGAAAATCAATCCATTGGATCCATTGGCGGTGGGAATACATCCTGAGGTGAGGTCTGCGAGGACCAACATGTTGGTGAAATCTCAGAAAGGTTGGTGAATAGCTTCATATCCATTCCCAAACCCAAATATCAGTCCGTGATCTATTTAATTTTCCCCTATCTCTGTGAAACAATGTGAAACATATCAAATTCAGACCCTTATTCTAAGATGTGGGTCACGGGGCTGCGTCCCGGCCTCTCTAGAAGTACAACGTGCTGCGTCACATCAGTGTTCGCCTTCGCAGCGTTCATCTCACCTTGGTCACCGCTGCCGATTGCTGGGGATGTGGGACTTGGGAAAGTTAGCATAGCAATGGTATTGTGATAGTAAGTATATAGTAACCATGTTCATTTGTAGTAATGGTAAATAGTATTGGTAAACTAGTGATACTATAAATTAATATAAAATAGTCGTACTATCTTAGATAGTAAGGGATACAGTAATATTTGTTTAAGTGTTAGTAAACATAGACACCCCCAAGAAAAAAATATTACTATTGGAATACTATTGGTAGGAATATACACATGGTAAGTAATTAATGATTATATATACGATTCCCACCACTGTTTGCTGTTTGTTTAAGTAATTTAATTTACGTTTCTGCATCTTTTTTGCAGCTTGCAAAGAAGACAGTTTCGTAGACTGTTTGATTGGTGATTGGTCTAGCAGCGTCTACCAAGAATGAGATTTCATGGCCAGCCGTGTTCGTGCGCTGGAACGTGTAGATTGGAAGAGGCAGAATTGAATAGCATTATCATTATATTGGATTAATAGGATTCCCCTAATGAATTATGATAATCCCTATAGAATGGTTACGTAGGGGTTTTGAACACTGCTCATTTGGCTGTCTCTGTCAATGTTAGCCGGGAAATCCCAGCATTAAATGGAGTTACAGCTGGGACAATCCTCCAACGAAATCGCAAACAAAATTGGAACACCTGGTACGGATGGTACCACATAAAAACAGCCTGTGGGTCCCGCACATCCATATCATCAACCATTTATCAAGCATCATTGAGTAATCATAATGCTATGGTTGATGATTACTAAATGGTTGATGTTTTAAACCCCTAAAAAACCGCTTCACCATGATTCACCAACAAATTCCAACCGCAACCAGGGCGCCAATGTGGACGTGCACGGGCCGTTGGAGGAAATCGAAAGCCAGTTGCCGTACCGCCTCGCGGCAAAGCCCCCAGTTATGCCTGTTGGTTTAGTTTCACCCATCAACTAGTTATATCTCCAATCAAGCCTGGTAAAGCAAGTGAACCAAGTGAACTAAGCATAACTAAGCCAGCTTAGCTATCTAGTGACTGGTTAGTAACCCTAGCTGTGATAAGCCACTGAATGGGGACGTGGCAACCAGGGGTTATTTACCAGTCACGAAGTGGGATGATCCTCCCAGTAGAGCACCCATCACCAAGAAATGGTTAATTGTATATTTAACTGCCTCATGATCATCCAAGGTAAGTTGAAATAAGAAAATAAATATCAAATGTTGAGAGGTACAGATAATGGACGTGACATACCAATCATGGCTTTTGAAGTGACCAATGGGAATGTCCATGAGTTATTGATGAGTCACATTGGTGATCGATTTTGTACTTGTCAAACACCCTTAAGATACTATAGTCCCAGAAAAAGAACAACTTCAGACTAATAGCACCATTCCTAATCAGACTTGGGCTACGTCTTGGTCAAAACCATGCTGGACAATCGCGTGTCGTCTTTGTAAATATATTATACATATATATATATATGTATATATATATATTCACGCGCTATATATAATACATATGTAGATATATATATATATAATATATATATATATATAAATATGTTAATTATGTATATATAGTATTTTACATGTATATATATATATATGTATGAATAAACTAAAATCTCCGAAGTGAAACTTGCAGCCATGGCACGTCCAGATACATAACACGTCACTTTGATGAACATATTTCCCAGGCATATCATAGGATCTAATGTGGATACATCATGATATATCTGTCTTTCCAACCTATCCTTTGAACTATCTATCTATGCGTATCTATACACGAACGTAACAACAAAGAAACAAACCTATGTTGATGTTCTTTTCCATTCTTGTTTATTGTGTAAGATGTATTCTAATATACACACTATATATAAGTATATGTATATAGGAAACAATGAAACCATCCACCAGCCATGTCATCATGACTCCCCAAGACCCCCCAGCCATCCAAGTTTGTTTGGTTTCCGAGCCGGCCAGGCGTTTGGGTTTCGGGACGCTCCGAAGGGAGTGTCCCAGTTGGCGGAGTCGCCACATGGGATGAAAAGTGCCGGTGATGATCCAATCTCCACGTTCAAACTGAAATTTATTGGGGTTTCACATAACTAATTGATGTGAAAAAAGTGCAATTTCATCATATTCAAAATAAACATTTATCCTTTCAACAAAGAAAAGTTCCACGTGTCACTGACATGATCATCATGATCATCATGGTCAGCCGGTGAGGATCCTGCTTAGCTGCAGAATCCCATGTGACGATCAAACATGATCAGCGTCTCTGGCTCTTATTGCTCAGCTGGATTGTTGGGGTACATCTTGCGCTGCTCCTGACGTGCAGAGAGTGCAGAGACATTCGCCTCCTTGGAAGGACTTGAATCCAGGCGAACTTGGATCCCATGAAAGGACTATGGCCAGATCCGTTGTTCAAGGACATCTAGCATCTATCTAGTCATCATCATAAGATCCGGTGAAAGGAGACCTAATCAACCTAATTCCAAACAGAAATCCACTAGATCTAATCGACATAATTCCAACATACCAACAGATTCCAACACATAAGTCTTCATCCAGACGTCCACGTCCCAAGTCCACGTCGCATCCTCTGAGAGAAGACCTGCTTGTGCCTTCTTCTTGGTCCGATTGTGGTAGACCCGCGTCCTCGGAATGCGGAGCATGCTAAGACGATCTAAGACGTATGGAAGCGCAAAGGAAGCTGCTGTTCTTTGGTGAAATCTCACAGTGATGTAAACATCAAACACACATATATACATGTATATATATATATACATTACACATAAGACATAGAGACTGACATAGAGAATCATAGAGATAGAGACAGTGGCATGTGTTTTTTTTGTTTGTTAAGGGTTGGTTGATATCGCCGTTTCTGGCCGCAGGGGTACCCTTTGGACAAGAGACGGAACTTATCAATGGATTAAATGGGGGACGTTACATTGTAGCAACCAAGAAAACAATAGAGAGGTAGTTTATCAATTTATCACTAAGTATTCTTAGTAAGATAAATAGTGATAAACTAATAATTAGTGATAAATTGATAAACTAATTACAATATGTATATTATTCTTCAATAAGATCTTACTTTTCCATCTTTCTTCGGCGTTGCCAAGAACCTTGTCAAGGCTATCCATGCATCAAGCTGCAGCGGTTGATCGAGATCAACCATACCATGGTGTGCCCCCAAGACAGGAGCATTGTTTTTTAATATATATAGCTATAATTATACATATGTACGTATATGAATCTATATAACTATATATATATAATCAGGGTTTCCTATTGGTTTATGTGCTTAGATGATCTTAGATGTGTGCTAGCTATAGTTCAGATATTCCATAGTTTCGGAAAATATCATAGATATCTCAGAAACAATGTGAGATCACGGCATGATATATGAGATATCCTTGTATATTATATCAACCCCATAGACTAATAGAACCCCAATGTAAACATATAAAAACCCCATAATTATACACTCTGGTAATTTCACACCTTGCTATTGAAAATGACCATAGAAATAGTTGGTTTACATTGATTTACCCACCCATTAAAAATGGTGATTTTCCATGATTTTCCATGATTTACCCATTTAAAATGGTTGATCCTTTGAAAATTGTGATTTTCCATAGCAAAACTGTTAGAAGATGGCCCGCTGAGGCCATGCACTCGTTGGGATCGAAACCAGCCTGGTCACCAAAATCGGTGACGATTTTTTGGGTCTCTGGGTGCGTCTGAAACTATGGGAAAATCATGACTAACCAGCAGATTTAGGGGTTTGTCCGAATATGTTTAGACAAACCCATGTAGGCTCCAGGTCATTTTGGTTCACCCATACCATGCCTGTTTGATACCCTTACCGGGGAAGCAGTAGTACCTTGCAAAAAAAGGCACGTGTATATTATATATATATATAATACATTGTACATACATGTATATATATATATGTACATACATTGCTCCTCACTTGCAGTAATTCGCAAAAACTAGTCCTAATTCCCGCTTCCAAACATATAGAAATTATATAATCCATGTTAACAAATTGCCTATCAACCTTGTTTTGGCTTGGTTTCGAGCCTGATTTTTGATGGTTAAATAGTGCATGGTTAAATAATCCACCTTTTGAAGGATCATCCCACTTGGTAAATGGTTAAACCTTTGACAAGTCCCATTTATAAAGGGATCATAGTTGGCTGTTCAATCCCCGATTTCGGAATATTTCCATGCTTCAATCCGCTATGTTTACTGCTTAAAATGCCCTACAACTGTTGGGTTTTCCCCTCCTTTGTTTACAAACATAGCCATGGAAAATGCCGTGGAAAATGGCCCATAGAATCCCATAGACATATATAGTTGATTAAGTTGATTGACCTATAAACAAATTGTGATTTTCCATGATGTTCCATGATTTACCTGTAAGAAAATGTGATTTTCCATGATGTTCCATGATTTTCCTGTAAAAAAATGTGATTTTCCCACGATTTCTTGGTCCAACTGGGAGCTCCTCATTGCAGCCGCCGGACCCTGCACCGCCTCCTCGGATCCGTAGAGAGCCCAGTCGGGGGTCGGAGCCCAGTAGTCCTTGGCCTCGAAGTGAACGCCTGCAGCGTTTGAAAGTCGACCTTACCGTTATCCATATAATATATATATATATAATATAATATACTGTATATAGTATGATGTATATATATAATATATACTATAGTTACTATAGTATATTGTACAATGTTTATATATATATATAATATACTGTATATAATATGTATATCTATAATATATATACCATAGTTACTATAGTATATTGTACAATGTATATATATATATAATATACTGTATATAATATGTATATCTATAATATATACTATAGTTACTATAGTATATTGTACAATGTTTATATATATATATATAATCATATTGTCATGAGCTGATTAGTTATATATCTAGATATATCTCATT